CTTACTCTCAAACCTCTCTTCCTGCTTCTTACTCTCAAACCTCTCTTCCTGCTTCTTACTCTCAAACCTCTCTTCCTGCTTCTTACTCTCAAACCTCTCTTCCTGCTTCTTACTCTCAAACCTCTCTTCCTGCTTCTTACTCTCAAACCTCTCTTCCTGCTTCTTACTCTCAAACCTCTCTTCCTGCTTCTTACTCTCAAACCTCTCCTCCTGCTTCTTACTCTCAAACCTCTCCTCCTGCTTCTTACTCTCAAACCTCTCTTCCTGCTTCTTACTCTCAAACCTCTCTTCCTGCTTCTTACTCTCAAACCTCTCTTCCTGCTTCTTACTCTCAAACCTCTCTTCCTGCTTCTTACTCTCAAACCTCTCTTCCTGCTTCTTACTCTCAAACCTCTCTTCCTGCTTCTTACTCTCAAACCTCTCTTCCTGCTTCTTACTCTCAAACCCCTCTTCCTGCTTCTTACTCTCAAACCTCTCCTACTCTTCCAATTCTGAGCTTTCTTTTTCTCCGCCCGGCAGAAAGAGGAGCGCACCATGCTGGAAGACACCAAGGCGGCCCTGTTGGACTTGGACAAAGTCACTGTGTTCTTCAGGCAACTGGAGGACGAGTGTCTCGTCGCAAGTAAGAGATCCATCCACAAAGACTGACTTTGCCCATTCAAACCGCACTGCTGCTAATGAGCAGCTGTATGGTTTGAGCAACTCTGAATAAGTTCCATTATGTGGACGTGCGGTAGCCATTGAGGGGGAGAAATTGCCATTTTGCCGTTGCAGCTTTCATTTTCAGTTCAACAGAGAGCTAAAACAACACTATAATGGCTCCACAAATCATCTCAAACAATGGCAGTTGTCCCCGTTGTCCTTGCATCACAGATAGATGATCCCTTCCTGACAGGCTGTGAGGGGCTTCATTTAAACTGCATTGCTAAAACACATGCAGTGATAGACATGCACAGACAGCCAATTTGAAATATTCTCGCACCAACCGCGTGCGTACGTGCTGTAGTAGAAAACTGCTCAAGGTCTGAACATTTATTTCAGAGTAAGCATTCAAATACAATCGTGCACTTCAGCACTTTCTTTTGAGGAGGCATGGGCAGGTTGTTTGTAGCGGGGCATTGTGAGCATCTTGACACGCTCTCCTGGGCGTATCTGTGCCTTTTTAATAACTTCAGTATCTGCATTCACTAAAGGTGCTCCTGGCTACCAGAAGCTTAAAAAGCCAAAGGATACAAAAGGACTGCATCCTGAATCACGTCTCTTTTCAGAAGCCTCAATATGGCCAGCAGAGATTGCCGCTCAAAGGGAAAAGCACAACATGCACTTCCCATTTGGGAGGAAAAGCCTTGGATAAAGCAGGGATTTGCTATTTTGGAGCAAAAAGTGTACATATGCATACATTTTGAATATGCAAACTAATGCATGTTGATACGGTTTTAGCTTAGTCACTGTACTGTACAGTGCAAACCTATCCCTTTAACCCTGATGTAAAACAAGGAGCATTTTCTGCTCAGACTGCTGCAGTGCCGCCAGATGGTTTGTGGCAGCACCGTCCATTGGCCAGTATTGATTTGCTAATAGCATCTTGAGCACGCTGTGAGCTGCTGGTAGGGGAGGAATCATGAAAGCTCCACAGAGTCTGAGGCCCCAGAGTTCAGCCTGAAGCATCACAGCCAATTCCACAGGATTACAGCTTGATGGGTTCTTGAGAAAAGAGCACTGACCCCAGAGGTTGCTCTGTAAAAGGTCATCGCATCCATTTTCTGGGAACTGCTCATGCACCGCTGTCAGTCATAAATTATTACTGGTTATATGTTGTTTGTAGGATGAGATAAGGTTGCATTTAATTCATGTATTCAAAAGCAGTTGAAAAAATCATGAACAATTATAAGACATAATAGAGATATCTGAAATCAGACAGCCCTAACCGAAGATTGAGAATAGGTTTTTATAATATATGTTACTAACTCTAATAATATCTCGTCTAAACATTGGTTTAAAATATATAATAAACACAGACCGTGTGTATAAGTCTGATTTAAATTGTTTTATTTTAAGGGTTTATGATTTGAGAACAGGTTAAAATCTTTTCAAACCGTTTGGGGGGAAACATTGCTATCTGAAAACAATCTGTATCAGCTTTTTTTTTTTTTCATCCATGGACTCTAAATTAAAATGACAGGATGTGTGCTTGGAGGTTACATAACTGTGGAGAACTTCAGCTAACTTAAAAAAAAGGATGTCTTGAGTCATATTTAGAACATGATGTTGTGGTGCACTTCAGCCTCTTGTGGCCGAAATCAATATTACAACAACAAACAGTATCCTGCCAAAACTACACGTGTCTTTTTTGATTTACTGTAAAACACTATCACGTTCTATATTATTAATGCTGGATTTGTAACTCTTTGAGTTCACTCTGTAGAAGTGTCACAAATGATCTGAGGGTACCTTAAGGTCACCAACTTCATAGCCCCTTACCCTTCTCATGTTCTCATCTTAGCGAGTATCTTAGCCAGAGAGACAACTTGATCAAATAGCAGTCTTGCTAAAATCTCTTCTGTCTTTGTTTATGTGTTGCAGACTCACCAGTGTGTTACCAGGTGGAGGGCAGCCGACAGGCCCTGAGGGTCACCCTGTTCCTGGACAGCTGTCACTTCAGTGAGCTGCCCAGCCGGCTGCAGAACGGAGGCAGCCTCAAACTGCACACCGTCCTCTTCACCAGGGGTAAGACTGGGCGGGCCGGGACCAACGGGCTAGAGGGACTTAACAAAACTAGAAGTCAGGGGTGGAGATGAATAAGTAAGGAAGAACACAACAATGGCTCTCAGGTGTCGTTCCTTTGAAATGTAATACCCGAGTACCAGATCATAGTCAGGAGCCTAATTATCTGAAGAGGTCTCCCTTTTGTCAAAACAAGGCCACCTGGTAATTAAAAATGGTAGAAACACCAACAATAGTTCCACGATTTCAAATCTGTGTTTATTTGAAGCTTTTCGATGACGATCCTAAAAGGCTCGAGAGCCAATTCAACTAAATCTGATAACCTATAAATAATGATGACCAATGTGTTAAATGATCAAATCCTTTTCAAATATATAGTTAAATCCTAATTCCATTATAAGGGTGAACGGAGCCAAATGGGAGTGTTGGACTTTATCGGAGGGCATGAAACAACTTCTGTAGACTTCAAATTGTATAATCTAAGAACACTCTCTGTGCAGTATGCAGCCTCTCACTCATGCACATTTCCTGAAAGCATTATATGCTTTTATTAAGTTACATTGAAGCCTTTTATTGCCCATTTAAAACACCTTTGCATCCTCCTTTGCTGCCATGCGCCTCATAGCTCTCCATCTCTCCGCTGGCCTAGAATGAATGGATAGCATTAGGCATCACTCCTGTCTGCCAAATGGCCATTCATTTTCCACAGACAAGTGCCAGTTGGAACACTAACCCAATGAGAGAGCTCGTATTGCTCCTGTGTAAGTTAATGTGGAGCAGAGTGCTCCGTTGTGCAGATCTGTGGAGGAACACTCCCACCTACTGGAATATAGTCTTTCATGCTGGCTGTGTGGAAGAATTGCAATATACAGTAGCAGATGTTGACGTTTTTTGTGGCCATTGTATGTTAAGACTCATATTTTATCGCATCCTCAAACGTTTTTTCGTTAGTAGGCCTGATAAATGTTATCATATTGCTGTGTGTAAATCTAAATGCCTCCTGCCTGTTTAACCCAGCTCTGGAGCGTCCGGAGGGAATGTCCCAGCAGGACTACGCAGCCATGGAGGAGATCCAGCAGCGCACCAACGCTGTCTCACTGGAGAAGGTCAAGGCTTACTACCGCAGACTCAGGTACAGCTACACTGCATCTCAGCCCTCCAGAGGAGTTCCTCACCAGCACTCAGGATCTATTTCACCTGAAAGGGAGAGTTCAGCCCGTGGTGTTGCATAACTTGGCAGAAACTACACTTCCACTGCTTTACTCTGAGCTATTATTAAGGGGCTAGAATACTTTTTGGGTGGGACTCATTTATTTAAACCTGTCCCACACCCACCAACTAAGGATTTGTATTGGCTACATGTGAACACAGTTTGTTTTATTTTTGCTTAACATGCTCAACTCATTTATGAATGCACCTTAGACATTAAAGGGGCTCTATTGTGCTTTTTGGGGTCCTACTTTTCCTTCACAGTGTTATATCGTTTTTTGAGCATGTAAATGGTCTTCAAAGACTACACTCCCAAAGTTCCCTCCAGAGAGAGTTTCTCTTTGTTAGAAATGAGCCTTATTGGGCCCCTTTCATTTGATAAACACTGAAAATCTTCCTTTTTGCTTGATCTCTATCTGAAAATAAAATGTATTTTATGTGCAAGACAAGCTGAGAATAAAACCTCATGTGTATTTAAGTGCTATAACTGTCATGTCGCAGTTATTTTTCTTTAAATAGAGGTAAGGTTTACAAGGTATATATATGAATGCTTTTAGTTGTTTCATTTTTTCTAGTTTATTGTTTTTGTTCATTCCCTGTAACATGTGTTTTTTTTATGTCAGCAATTTGTCATATGAGCATGTACATTCCTGGGATATGACTCATGCAACATCAATAC